AAAAACTGAAGACACCTTCCATAAGTTTTTGCTATCATTTAGACAAAGAGAATTGAATCTAAACACTCAGACTTTTTCTAGCCAAAGAATTTAGGATTTCAGAGGAGGGCAAGAAAGGAAAATATCAAGAACAAAGAATATGTCTATAGGGACCTAGGAATCTCTTTAGACAGTGGGTCCAGGAGCACTTTTGAGAGTAGATGTGGCCACTACTAATTTTTTAAAAATTTTTATTAACATAAAAAGGAAGAGATTTAATGTATTTCAGTAGGTACAGTTCTAAGAAGATAACCATATTTCCCTCCTTCCCCCTGGGCAATTGGTACTATCATGAGTAAACTGAAAAATAATCACCCAACTCAAAAAACATTCTCAGTCTGAGAGCACACACTGCAGTTTTAAATGAAACAAGTCTAGCAGAGTGAAAAATCCATACACATTACCTGTAACTTGCCTGATTCCACAGTTCCCATGGAGTTGGTTCTTAAGCACTGTGAGGTATCTAGAATGCTTCCCTTGTGCTCTGCTCAAGAGATAGCAGAATGCTGGGGCACCCATTCAAGTTGAAATCAGAAGGAAGAGTGCCACCTGCTGAGAATCAAACCTCAATCATTTTATGCAGGTTGGCCCCGGGGGCTTCCATCCAGACCTTGACTATGCACACCCAGACTCTCAGACTGAAAGACACATTGTATGCAGGATCCCAAAGCCAAGCTTAGTCGCCTTCAGATGGCTCTAAGGGGTAAACATTAAACCAACATTTGAAATGTTAAAAGGGAAAATCTTTTTGGCAATTAACTTGCCTTGATAGCTGATGAATTATAAAATCTGAAGTTAGTCATTGATAAAATAATTAAACTACTAAGATAATTTCCATACATTAAATCATAGTTTGAAAATGTAGAATTGTATTTACTCTTAGACTATCCTCCTAACAGGCAAAATTTTTTTCATTTGAAAGAAGATACTATTTATGAGAACATTTTTGCTGTGTGCCATCCACACAGTATGCCATTTAAAAAGTGACCCAGGAGTGATACATTTAGAAAAACACTACCAGAAAAATCATACATTGAGAGATCATTCAACAATTATTGCTAACTGTTGCTGAAATATTTGGAAACCCTTCAAGTAATATTACTTCCCCTCGTCCATCTAGCTTAAGTGTTTTTCCCAGTCAGCATAATGTTCAAATTAATTTGATTTGTTCCTGAAAAAAATATCAGTTTTCTTGCCATTTAAACTTTGATTTGAGGTAGATAGAAAATTTCCCTTCTGAACAGCCTGGAAGACTTACAGTGTCTGGGGAGGAGGGTCTGCTAATGAAACTTTGTTGTGGAATAGTTCACAAAGGAATACAAGATGTGTTACATAATGCAGCCCTTTGTTTGTGGAGTTTCTGACAGAAGCCTGCAGTTTTAGCTCCAGCTCAAAGCTGCCACCGGAGTCTTCCCTAACTCCAGGCAGCTCTGAGACTTTTTCCCCCACCTCCTGCCATGATTACTCTGGCTTCTGATTAAATTACACCTCATGTTTAAGGTCACTAACCTAAAACGACCCAAAGCTACTTATTTCTCTTCTCAACAGTTCTCTGCTGCTTGTAATATTTGGGAGTCTTGAAAATAGCTACTGTCCCAATTTAGGTAGTCTTTCCTCCAAAAGCAAATGCTGTTATAGTTTCCTTACACATGGGTTCAAACCTCAGATGGACGACTTTGGAAGCCAATTAACAAGCTAAGGAGTCTGTAGCATCTAGGTGAATCACAGCTATATAGCCTAAGGGACAGAGAAGAGTGCTCTTTGACAAGCGAGGGCTCCTCAATTACTTTTAATAGAGCTGGACCTGCACAGCATTGTCTTGCTTTTAATTAAAAGAAATCTTATTTATATCATTTCTTCTTTAATGCATTCATCTTTTTTATTATTATTCTATTGTCATATGTTAAAATGGGCTGCTACTAATTTTGGAAATCTTTTTTTTGGCTTTGATTGTATATAATAATCCAATTAAGTTGTAACAAACTCTTGTCATACAATTTTTTACTTCAGACTCAAAATGTTCTTTCTTAACATGGTTTCAAGCTCGGTTCTGATCCTAATACAAATCTTGCTCTTACCTTTGTGAGGGAAAATTTAGTTATATATAGAAGGGAACTTCAAAAAATCGCGGAAAATAGAAATAAAAGGTAATGTGCATTTTCCATGAACTTTCTGAAGATCCTTTGATTGAAAAACTAGTATACACGATGTGAACAAATCAATATTTATTAAGCGCCCCCGTCAAAAAATGGCCAATGTTTTCCATCTAACTAGGAAGAATGGTTTGGATAACTTGAATTAAGAATGTCATTATTGTTGTTAGAAGTGTGTTCGGGTTCAGGTAATAGAAATCCTGACTTGAGTGGCTTAAACAAACGGGTTCATTTTTCTCATATAACGTAAGTCCATTGGTAAGGAAGTAGAGAATTGCTGGTGTGATGAAATCTATGTCTACATTTCTAGGGTTATCTTTGCCTTTATTCATGCTTGCTGCTTCATGATCACAAAATAGCTGCAAAAATTCCAATCAAATTTGCATGTTCACATGGAAAGAAGAGGGAGCAGAAAGTTCACCTTTTACCTTTTCCTTTATTAGAAAAAAAAAGCTTTTTCAGAAACTAGCACATTGCCTCCGTTATGACTGCTTCATTGACTAGAGCTGGGTCTGTGGCCTACCGTTGGTTTCTAGGGAAGACAAGAAAATGAGGGAATAGAGTTGTAATAATTGACTTAGAAATGTCAAAACTCTACCATTTGAGGTAAGTCAGCTTGAGCATGTCCCGAATTGCACATCTCTTCCCTCTCTTATTCCCACTCTTATATTTTAACAGCGATCACTTTTCAGTTAAGTTTCAGCACTTAAGAATAATGTGTATTGATTACAGTATTCAACCAAAAGTATTAAGTAGAACAAACAAAAAAAAATACTAAGAGGGATAACATATTAAGTTGTTCATCAACAGTCAGGGCGAGAGCTGATCAAGTCACCGTTTCTCATAGTGTTCATTTCACTTTAACAGGTTTCCTTTTTTGGTGCTCAGTTGTCACCTATCAGGGAGAACATGAGGTGGCATGTACCAATGCCATCTCACTAGTCTCAGTGATCAATTTCTGTTCACAACTGATCATAATGATAGGACTAAGAACCAAAGGGATCACATAAACAAGAATAGTGTCTGCTAATACTAGCTGATAGAATATAAAAGGGAGAGAACGATCCAACATGGGAAGCGAGATACACAGCAGACTCAGAATGGCAGATGTCCTAAACAGCACTCTGGCCTCAGAATCAGCCCTTAAGGCATGCAGATCTGGCTGAAAAGCCCATGAGAGTATTTCAGGCATGGAAAGCCAAGACACTCTGGAGGAAAAAAAAAAAAAAAAAAAAAAAAAAACCTAAATGAAAGATCTCCGCAAGTGAGATCCCAGTGGAAAGAACAGGTCATCAAAGAAGGAGGTACCTTTCTCTGAAGGGAGGAGAGAACTTCCACTCTGACTACGACCTTGTCTAAATATGATCAGAGTCGGTGAACTCAAAAGGCTTCCATAGCCTTGGAAACTCATGACAAGAGCCTAGGGTGATTACTGATGCCATAAACAAGAGAGTCAATTTGTTAAGTCAACAACAGGAGTCACTGTGCACTTACTCCTCATGTAGGATCTCTGTCCTTAGTGTGCTGTACGTTCTGATCTAATGCTATAACTAGTACTCAAACAGTATTTTTCACTTTGTGTTTCTATGTGGGTGCAAACTGTTGAAATCTTTACTTAATATATGCTAAACTGATCTTCTATATATAAAGAGAATTGAAAATGAATCTTGATGTGAATGGAAGGGGAGAGGGAGCGGGAAAGGGGAGGGTTGTGGGTGGGAGGGAAGTTATGGGAGGGGGAAGCCATTGTAATCCATAAGCTGTACTTTGGAAATTTATATTCATTAAATAAAAGTTAAAAAAAAAAAAGAAATGTCAAAACTCATCAAATCTAAGCACATTGCCACTCTGAACAAAGCAGAGGTCTGCAGCTGGGAATAATGGAGGGAATGTATGCTGGGTAGGCAATACTTTCTACTGCAACTCCAATATTTACAGAAAAGTAATGTGGACTATACAAAGTAGAAAAATGGATGGAGAAGGGACCATGTAAAATGGACTACAAAATAACTGAAGCAATGGTGGGACACTTTAAAAGAGAGAAGAAATAAAGCTTAAAAGCTGAAACACATATGGTGTACATTTAAGTGCTTCTGCATTGTAAATTCCTTGATTATATGAAAATAGGAAGTAAGGTTCATTCCTATTTTTTCTCTCATTGTCTCATACATATTAGATACTGATTGAATTAACATGAATGAAAAAGGGTGAATGAATAAGATTCTAATCCAGAAGTTTAGGTTGGATTCAGCAAATCATGGAGATCACAGAACAAAAAATATAAAATTGGAAATATCAGGAAAAACACCAACATACTATGGATATACTGTGGGAAGAAGGCTGAACTTCAGAAAAGAAAGAACTTCAGAGGAGGCTTCTGGTGCAGGCAGTTTCCTTATCTAAGTGTCAAGGTTTGGACTTTCCTTTATTGGTATGTATTAAACTATTTATACGAGGCCGGCACCGTGGCTCAGTAGGCTAATCCTCCACCTAGCAGCGCCGGCACACCGGGTTCTAGTCCAGGTCGGGGTGCCGGATTCTGTCCCGGTTGCCCCTCTTCCAGGCCAGCTCTCTGCTGTGGCATGGAAGGCAGTGGAGGATGGCCCAAGTGCTTGGGCCCTGCACCCCATGGGAGACCAGGAGAAGCACCTGGCTCCTGCCTTCGGATCAGCGTGGTGCACCAGCCGCAGCGCGCCAGCCGTGACGGCCATTGGAGGGTGAACCAATGGCAAAAGGAAGACCTTTCTCTCTCTCTCTCTCTCTCTCTCTCTCTCTCTCTCTCACTATCCACTCTGCCTGTCAAAAAAAAAAAAAAAAAACTATATATACAAACTCCATGTGTGTGTTTTTCTGTATGTATCTTTCACAAGAGAAATAGGTAAAAGAATAAAATGTTAAAGATTTTTATAAAACCATAAATCATTTTTGCTTTGAAACAAGCAGATGTCAGTAACGGGGATACTGCATTTACTTGAGACCCATCTGTCAACAGGTACTTCATCATAGACCCATTTTGGAGGCTAATGATATAATGTCATCTTATTTTTACATAAGATACTTTTACAACCATCAGTTCTTTTTTTTGTTTTGTTTTGTTTTGTTTTTTGTTTGTTTTGTTTTGTTTTGTTTTCTGACAGGCAGAGTGGATAGTGAGAGAAAGAGAGAAAGGTCTTCCTTTTGCCGTTGATTCACCCTCCAATGGCCGCCACGGCTGGTGCTCCACGCTGATCTGAAGTCAGGAGCCAGGTGCTTCTCCTGGTCTCCCATGGGGTGCAGGGCCCAAGCACCTGGGCCATCCTCCACTGCACTCCCTGGCCACAGCAGAGAGCTGGCCTGGAAGAGGGGCAACCGGGACAGAATCCGGCACCCTGACCAGGACTAGAACCCGGTGTGCCGGTGCCACTAGGTGGAGGATTAGGCTAGTGAGCCACGGCGCCAGCCCAACCATCAGTTCTTAATATTGTTTAATGTGTATTAGCAAATATATTCTTAAACATAATTTCCAAATGCTACACTTTGATATCCAGATTCTCATTTTGGTAGATATTGTAGTACATTCAAAGAAAACTCTGAATGAATGCAAATTTTACAATTATTCAAATATCATATATAACTTTTATTGTTCATGTACAAATTCTTCCTATTTCCTGCAACTTGTTCTGATTTCCTCAACAGGACTTCAGAGTATCTTTTGTGGAATTAACAAAGTCAAAAGCTGGTCAGAATTTCATGTTCTCAATCTTTATTTTTTAAAAATTTATTTTATTTATTTGAAAGACAGAGTTACAGAGAGAGGTAGAGACAGATAGAGTGGTCTTCCATCTGCTGGTTCACTCCCTAGATGGCCACAATTGCTGGAGCTGCACTGATCAGAAGCCAGGATCCTGGAGCTTCTTCCGGGTCTCCCACGTGGGTTCAGGGGCCCAAGGACTTGAGCCGTCTTCTACTGCTTTCCCAGGCCATAGCAGAGAGCTGGATTGGAAGAGGAGCAGCCAGGACTAGAACTGGCACCCATATGGGATGCCAGTGCTTCAGGCCAGGTCTTTAACCCGCTGTGCCACAGTGCTGGCCCCTCAAACTGACTTTTAATGTAGTTACATTAATTCCTTGGGTTGTAAATCTTCTGTTTCATCTAAATCAAGATCAAAATCTAAATAATTATCACTTTCTTATTTCTTCTGCAGTTTTCTCTACAGTTGGAACTTGGATTATTGTCTTTGTAACTTTTCAGGTTCTTTGTTAAACAGAATAACAATGTCTTCTTTCTTTCCACATTTTGCACATATAGTCACATAATCTACACATTATATAATAAGAATTTTTCACGGACCTTTGTAAATATCTAGCACATTTTTTAGGTTTCACTAATGGTTTGTATTTGCTGCATTTTACATGCCATTCAAGAAATTTACAGCACTGACAACACTCCCTCGTGAAGTTTTACATGAATATTTTTGGTCTGAACACTCTTAGCAAATTTGTCATTTCTGAAGCTATACATATTTTGGTTCTTCTGAGGCCTTCCTGGAGCTCTTCACAGAAACCACACCATCTTAGCCCAGGCACAGTGAAAAAACCTTTTGTCCATGTTCTATTTTCTGTGATGACCAGGGACTTCCAATGTTAAAGAGGCTTTGGAAAAATAAAAATAATTAAATATTCTCACTTTGTATTTATTCAGGTTATATTCTGTCATAGTCAAGAGGTTTCCAATCAAAGGGGCTATTATAGCTTCCTAACTAATTGATTCTTTTATCATTATATTATGACCTTCTTTGTTTCCTGTGAGTTTTGATTTAGTCTATTTTGGTTATAGTTTGCATGGTTGTATTTTTCAAACCCTTCACTTTTAGTGTTTGTGTGTCCTCAAAGCTAAAGTAAGTATTTTTTAGGGAATATGTGGTTGTATCTTGTCCTTTTTTTTTGGATTTGGTTTGTTTTTTGATTTTTTAAAAAAGATTTATTTATTTATTTCAAAGTCAGAGTTACACAGAGAGAGAAGAGGCAGAGAGAGAGAGAAGAGGCAGAGAGAGAGAGAGAGAGAGAGAAAGACGTCTTCTATCTGATGGTTCACTCCCCAGTTGGCCACAACAGCCAGAGCTGCGCCAGTCTGAAGCCAGGAGCCAGGAGCTTCCTCTGGGTCTCCCACGCAGGTGCAGGGGCCCAAGGACTTGAGCCATCTTCTACTGTTTTCCCAGGCCACGGCAGAGAGCTGGATCGGAAGTGGAGCAGCCAGGTCTTGAACTGGCACCCATATGGGATCTGTTGCCTCAGGCCAGGGTGTTAACCCCTGTGCCACAATGCCAGCCCTTGATTTTTGATTTTTATCTGTTCAGTTTTCTATGTCTTTGGATTAGGAAATTTAATCCATTAACAGTTATTGGTAAGTGAAGACTGCTTATTGCTATTTTCTACTTCCTTTGTTCTTTTTTACTGTCTTCTTTTTTTATTTGATAATTTTTGTAATAATAAGCTTTAATTCCTTTCTCTTTTTATTTTGTGTATCAAAGATTTTTAAATTGGCCGGCACCGCAGCTCAATGGGCTAATCCTCTGCCTGCGGCGCCAGCACACCAGGTTTTAGACCCGGTCGGGGCGCCAGATCCTGTCCCGGTTGCTCCTCTTCGAGTCCAGCTCTCTGCTGTGGCCCGGGAGGGCAGTGGAGGATGACCCAAGTCCTTGGGCCCTGCACCTGCAGGGTAGACCAGGAGAGGCACCTGGCTCCTGGCTTCGGATCAGCGTGGTGTGCTGGCCGCAACGCGCAGGCCGCGGAGGCCACTGGCGGGTGAACCAACAGAAAAGGAAGACCTTTCTCTCTGTCTCTCTCTCTCTCACTGTCCACTCTGCCTGTCAAAATAAATAAATAAATAAAATTTAGAAAAAAAAGATTTTTTAAATTAATATCTATCATGAGGCTTACATTGTAAACATTTAACAGTCTTCTTTAAGCTAACAATTTAAATTTTATTCCGTATTAAAACTCTACACGTCTACTCCCATCTCACACATTTCATGTTACTGATGTCACAATTTACTTATTTTTAAAATTTATTTATTTGACAGGTAGAGTTATAGACAGTGAGAGAGAAAGAAAGGTCTTCCTTCTGTTGGTTCACTCCCCAAATGGCCACTATGGCTGGCGCTGGGCTGATCTGAAGCCAGGAGACCAGGCTTCTTCCTGGTCTCCCACATAGGTGCAGGGGCCCAAACACTTGGGCCATCCTCCACTGCCCTCCCAAGCCACAGCAGAGAGCTGGACTGGAAGATGAGCGACCAGGACTAGAACCTGGCACTCATATGGGATGCCGGCGCATCAGGCAGAGAATTAACCAAGTGAGCCACGGTGCTGGCCCACACAATTTACATATTTTTAATTATGTGTATCTATTAACAAATGATTAGAGTTATTTTTAATGTTTTTCCTAGAGTTGAGAGTGATTTACACACTCCCACTATAGCATTAGAGCTTTTCAGTATTTAGCTAGGTATTTACCTTTACCAGGAAGTTTTATACTTTCTTATGTTTTCATACTGTTAATTAGCATTCTTTCATTTCAGCTTAAAGTACTCCCTTTGGCAACTCTTGTAAAGTAGGTCAAATGCTGATGAATTCCATCAACTTGTATTTGGTAAAGTTTTCATCTCTCCTTCATTTCTTTCTTTTTTTTTTTTTTAACGATTTATTTATTTACTTGAAAGTCAGAGTTACACAGAGAGAGGAGATGCAGAGAGAGAGAGGTCTTCCATCCACTGGTTCATTCTCCAATTGGCCACAACAGCAGGAGCTGCGCCAATCCAAAGCCAGGAGCCAGGAGCTTCCTCTGAGTCTTCCCACCCGGGTGCAGCTGCCCAAGGACTTGGGCCATCTTTTACTGTTTTCGCAGCCCATAAGAGAGCTGGATTGGAAGTGGAGCAGCTGGGACTTGAACTGGCACTCATATGGGATGCCAGCACTGCAGGCAGCAGCTTTACATGCTACGCATAGCACCAGCCCCTCCTTTATTTATGAAGGACAGGTTTACTGGATATAATATTCATGGTTGGCAGTTTTCTCTATAAGCTTTTGAATAATCAAGTATCATCCTATTCTCTCCTGGTCTGTGAGGTTTCTGCTGAGAAATCCACTGATAGTCTTTTACAGACTCCCGTAAATGTGACAAGTTGCTTTCCTCTTGCTATTTTCAAAACTGCCTCTGACTTTTGCAATTTAATTATAATATAATGGTAGATCTCTTTACATTTAATATATTTGGGGTTGTTTAGGTTTCATGAATCTAGATGTTCATTCCCCACCTCAGATTTAGTATCTGCCATTATCTTTTAAAAATAGGCTTCCTACCCCTTTCTCTCTCTCTTCTCCTGCTAACACTGTCATAATGCATTTTTGGTTCACTTAGTGGAATCTTGTATGTCCCTTGGTCCTTCTTTACTCTTTTGTATTTTTTCATTTTACCCTCTGTATGTACAGTTTCTTTTTTTTTTTAACTTTTATTTAATGAATATAAATTTCCAAAGTACAGCTTATGGATTACAATGGCTTGTATGTACAGTTTCAAATTACGTGTGTTCAAGATCATCGATTCCTTTTCCTGCTTGATCAAGTCTGCATTTGAACCCCTCTAGTAAGTTTTTCTGTTCAGCTTTTGTATTCTTCAGCTCCGGTACTTCTGTTTAATTCTTTTCAGTTGGCTCTATCTCTTTATTTAACTTCTAATTTTATTCATGTAGAATAACCCGTGTGTGTGTGTGTGTGTGTGTGTGTTTACTGTCTCTGTTCTCTTGTAACTTGCTGAACTTTTTTTAAGACAATTACTTTGAATTCTTTGTCAGTTTGCCCATTTCTAATTCTTTCAGGTTGGTTACTGGAAATTTGTCTTCTTCCTTTGATTGTGTCATGTCTTATTTACTCTTTGATTGTGTCATATCTTGTTGATTCTTCCTGTTCCTTGTAGGTTTGTTTTGTGAATTTTGCATCTGAAGCAACAGCTGCCTCTCTCTGACTTTATGGACTGGCTTTCACTGGGAGAACTTCACCCAGTAAGCAGTGCTCACTATGAGTCAAGATAGAGATGATCGCTTTGGGGAGCCCATTCTAAAGCTGGGGGCAGAACCCCTTTTACTTCTTTCATTTCCTTCTAGAGGAATAGCCACAGCTCTGTGATTTTTTTTCCCAATCCCTCAAGAAGTGCCAGCAACAAAGGGACACCTTCCCCTTTTCTTTGTTCTAACTGTCCCATGGGACTGACTTCTGTTGGTAATTCAGGACTAAGCGTGAGGCAAGATGCTATCCCGCCTCAGGGAAGATATTCTTATACTCTGTAAATAAGCTTCCTTCCCTTTGTCATGGAGGGAAAACCTCATCTCTACACCTATTCCAAATCTTGCAGAGCAGCTCCAGCCAAAGCAAGTTGCTCTCCTTTCTCTTTTATTTCTAGCTGTGCTGGAGGACGAGGCTGTGTAGGCTCCGTGCTCTGCATGAAGTAACATACAAGGGTTCCCTGAGAGGTCAGTAGCTCAGGTAGCCAAGCACACACCTGAAGAGCATGTTTGGACTCATGGGAGAAATCGTGGGCCAAAGCAATCCTCTCAGTACTGAGCTACGCAGTTTTTGGGAGGTACTGACATAGCTGTAGTGAAGTGGTTCTTCTTAGTCATTTAAATGCAACTTCTCTCAGTTTGTGCTCCTCTAGGGTGCTATACTTTGCTAGATTTGAATTCCTTTTCCAAGTATTTTAGTTCCAGTATTGTTGCTTTATCAGTATTTCTGTGGAGGACTGAGAAGGTTTTCCATTCTCCATGTTGCTGACTTCACCCCTATTATTTGTTTTTAAGACCTTAATTATACCTGAGAAATATGCCAGTGGACTGGCCAATAGGCACAATATTAAGATGTGCAACCTCAGTAAATTGGCATTTCTAACATACTTGTGGTCTATATCCATTTAATTAAGTTTACATGTTACTCAAGGCATTAGCCTCCTTGGTTAGATTAGAATACTTCAGATTACTGAAGCTGAATAGTGCTTCTTATTTTGACAGAATATCTATTTTGTTTAATTGATAAGTTTCCAGCTGTCAATCCTAAAGCACCTTCTCTAAAGACTTGTAATATTAATATTGGAGTAGGACAAGTTACTTAATTTATCTGGGGATTATCACTATTGTCTGAAAAGTGAAGCAACTGGATTTAACCTGTTCTCCAGTTACCATCAACTGTAAAATTGTATGATCTCATTTTTCAGTTTAACAGATGTCAATGAAGGGAATACTCACATGATATAAACCAATGATGTAGAACTGGTATATACACAAATGAATTATGTGATTATTGTGGACAAATGGCTGATAATTTGATGTATTCAAGATTGAGCTGTATATTGTGCAACACTTCCTAGCTCCTTGTTTTTGGCATGTCACTTATGGATGAGGGTATATGACTAATTTCAAAAGGGTAGGAAATTCATTGTTTGTTTATATTTTTCATCTCTAGGGTTAGAGAACCAAAAATAGGGTCTGAACTATATTTTAATAGCATGCATTTGTCCCTCACCTTCCTTACAAAGAATTTAAAACATTCTAGACCCATTGTATCAATCGTCTCTGAAGTACCAATGCAGGTAAAAAATAATAAATGTACTTATTCACATTTTAGTGATTAGAAAACTGGATCTTCAATCTTCTGGATTTATATCTAAGGAGCCACTGAGTGAAAACAGGTCAATATCTAGGATCTCTGCCTCCAAGACTCCACAGTCTTTTGTGTGTTATAGTTTTTCTTAGTAGGTTCTGCAGTGCCTGATTGCTACATCATCTTCCACACCTGATCCTTCCTCATTCCCTATCCGAACAGTAGCTTAGGCATTGCTGATTTCAAATGTATCAACAGGGAAAAAAACCAGTACAGTGAAAGAATGGAATGTGTACAGCAACAGATGAACTGCACAATCTGATACAGTGATATCATGTTTCAGTCTTTGGTTTGCATTAAAATCAGAAGTGAAGAAAAGTTGGAGACTCCTCCATCAGTCTAATCCATAAACATTTGACTATAGGCCCAACAGCCATAAGCAAGCATGCACTTTTGCTAGGTGAGAACTTCATTCTAATCATGGCATCCTGGAATCTCTGCATTAGTTTTAGGTGTCATTAGAATTTTCATAACCTGTCTTTGAGAAGAGCCAGGGGAAGAAAATGTGCACTCCTTTTCACTACTCAAAATATGTGATTATATTTCCTTCTTTACCTAAGTCTTCCTAGGTAGTAAAAAAGTCATATCCATGTTTGAACTCAAGGTTTCCTTAGTCAAAAAATTTGCATCTGGAGCCTAGGAAAATGTTTGTCCTGCACAGTTTAATGTTTAAACAGGTGCACACTGTGCTGGTCTGGCTGAGGAAAGGTGGTCCCCTCCTTTTGGAAACCCTGACATTAAGAGAATGATTTTAGTGCCAGCTTTCAGGAGTGCGTGTGAAGGAAAGTTCAGGTGATTCTCATTACCTGGTTTCCAACCCACTTACCTCCCTTGCATTCTGTGTTCTCATGAAGAAATTGATTTAATAGGTTCAAGATATTATTAAATACATTCTGCATTAATATTATATGTCCTCTTTGAATCCAAGTGGCAATACAATAGAATTTCATTTTATAAATAACACCTTTCAAGCTAACACCACAGGGCACAGTACAAAAGAATCAAAATAGAACACAAATGCTGTAATCAAATGCAGACCCCAGGAAGGCTGATTAAAAAGGCATGCTGCTAGTAAGAGCAGCCAACAGGGTAAGTATAGGGGGTCATAGCAGAAAAGCCAGCTGAACAGAAGGGCTAACTAAAATAAAATGGACTCACCTGCCTGATTCGCAGAGACATATAACGCCCCTTTGTCATGGACTCCTTTCAGGTTTAGGGATTGAGGGGGAGAGGCAAGTGTGTCTTGAAGGTGGGGCTCAAATGTGAGGTCATTAAGTTCACCCTCAAGACTCACACATGACACCAATGGCAATCTGGAAGGGCCCACAGCATGACTGTGAGACAACTCAACAAGGCTCCACAACTGGGAGGAAACAAGTAGATCTTTGCCATGGTGCTGAGAACAGATAGACATGTTCCCGGCCAGGCATAGCTCAAATGGATGAAAGGGTGAGACAGGTGTTTTGTGGTCTTAGCCTCATGGTAGTGGGCTCTCAGTTGGACTCTCATGTTACCCAATTAGTTTTTGTGCTCTCAGCTTCTCACAGCCACAACTTGTGTCTAATGTCAGGGAATGTGCTTTTAAACTCCATCTCTAATTATAGAATTAAAATTTTATGACTTTTCTTCATGGAGTTAAGGAATTGAACACGAGAAGGGGGAGTGTTTTGGAGTGTACCTCCCACCTATGTGTAAAACGAGTTTTACAGTGATCACCGCATTATCTTGAGTAATGTGTATAATTGGTCATCCACTGATGCTTCTTTGTTTAATACTGAGGGTAGAACAATGCAGGAAAGGAATCATAGAAAAAATTCACTACTAATATATGATAATTGTATTATCTGAAAAATAGTAGCCTATAGTTTTAATAGCCACCAAAGTCCTCTGGTTGGTGTCCTGGAGCAAGCAAACACAAATTCTAGAGTCAATTGAAAAGAAAAGGAGAGAGAAAGGAAAAAATTATAATTGTAGCATTTTTTTTAACTTCTCCTGAAGCTTTGGTTGTTTGTCATGACTCTCCTGATTATACACTTAGTTGAAATTCTGGACTGGGATCACTGGGTATATAAATTTAGGCCAATAACTTAGTATTTCTGTACATGTTTTTCTTACATAAATTATAATCATTTAAGTCAAACATGTGGGCAGCACTTATGGGAAAAGGTTATTTTCAAATTCTGGTACTGTGACTTTTTAAATAGTCTTTTATAGGCTTGTATATAATAGGATCCTCTTTTCCTTAATTCTGATAGCATTTATTTAGCTATACAAAGAGAGTGATTTATCAGTGAAGGTGAATAGGAGTGGAGTAAGTTGAGAAAACTGGATTACAATCTTCAAACCGAGTTATTTCATAAGTCATTTGAGCAAATAATCTTATCAATGCATTGCCTCTCAGATCTAAATTTACCCTTTCTTACCTGCTCTACAAAAGCGTATCAGGGTCCTTTAAATGTTTTTCCTTCACTAACAGGTAAAGGGTCATTTGTCAGTAGAGAGATATTGCAGAAGGAAGAGGTTTTTCATCCTGGTTGCAACGTGCTCCTTTGCAATATGCATGATTTCTATAGAGCCTGGCTTCTGCTGTGTGGGCAAACTGCCCAGCATCCAGCTCCTGCAGCACACACAGCTGCCCCGGTGCCCAGCAGCTAAAGCCCAGATAGCATCTCAAAGCCTGGCAACCAGGAGCTTCCCCAAGCACCCAATACCCACATGCACACACACACAGGCACATATACACACACAAAGAAAACCTCAGACAGTTTGTAGTAGGGTCCCTCAGTTGAGACACCTCCTTACAGATAGCTTTCTCTGGCACCCTAGAGAGCAAAGTGCCAAAAGTTGCAACTCTGCAACAACCTCTCTGCTATTCAATTAGTTTTGGCTGTGGCTTCTCCAACAGGGTCCAAATCCCAGTCCTGGGTAGAAGGATCTCTTCCTGTGTCCAACAGTGTCTGGATCCTGGCCCGAGATGGGAGGATGCTTTCTGGTATCCTGTAAGGCCTGGCTTTCTGTCCAAGGGCAGAGAGGATCCTTCTTAGGCCAACTAGCTCAGCCCTGCAAGTATGCTTGCTCCTTATATTTATTGTTCTTGTATTCTTTAGTGCTACCTTTACTCCTTACTAGCTACTCCCCACTAATTTGGATTGTCTGTTATTCCTAATAATTCCTTAAACTTTTTTGTTGAAATTGCTATGTACTTTCTCTCTCCTAATGGACCTTGACTGATGCATACCCAAGGAATATTAAAATAATCTTTATACTTTGGGAGTAGGGGAAAGTAAATTTTATGTCACCTCTTGGGGCTGGTGCTGTGGCATAGTGAGTAAAGCTGCAGCCTGCAGTGCCAGCAGCCCATATGGGTACCAATTTGAGTCCCAGCTGCTCCACTTCCAATCCAGCTCTCTGCTATGGCCTGGGAAAGCAGAAGATGGCCCAAGTGCTTGGACCCCTGCACCCACTTGGGAGACCTGGAAGAAGCTCCAGACTCCTGGTTTGGAATAGACCCAGCTCCGGCCGTTGCAGTCATCTGGGGAGTGAACCAGCAGATGGAAAATATCTCTCTCTCTCTCTCTCTCTCGCTCTCGCTCTCTGCCTCTGCCACTCTGTGACTCTGCCTTTGAAATAAATAAATAAATCTTAAAAAATAAATAAGTCACCTCTTTCTAGCACAGGTCATCATTGAGACAACAACATGACTTATCTAGGGCTGGATATTAGATGAGCAAAACACTTTGAGAATTACATGCTAGATTGAAAGTTGGCATAATAATATGATGTAATATGCTATTCTAACTATATGTACAGTCATAAAGATCAGTTTTTTAAAATATACTTGATTTCACTGAGAATTTAATAAAATATAAACTATAATAAAGCAAAGAATAAGTCTGGATTCAAAAATAATTTGTTAAAATATTGTGATATAATAAATTCATGTGAATTTGTAATTGTTAACACTAGGATAATAATGATACTGTCACTTTTTTGAACAGAACTTTGCATCATTCATTGAAACTATATAGCCAGAGAAGTGGATTGTATTATTATCCTTGTTTTACGAATGCAAAAAGAGAGACTTGGGAAGGTTAGGCAACCAATTTAAGATGATACATCTAGTAAATTTCAGAGCCAAAATTTCAACCTAGATCCCCCTGTGGGCCCTGAATTTTAACTACAGCACTCTGCAAACAGAAAATGAAGCAAGTGGCAGGTTACCTATGAGAGTATGCATCAAATACTTGTTATGGTTGTTTTCATCAAAGACCCAAAAAAAGAAAGTGATGTATCCCAGAGACATTTCTGAGACAGCCAACCTATTACTTTTGCTTAACAAGATATGGACAAATTGGGTGAACACTGGTGATCAAATTCCCAGAACCAAAGTGTTAACAGTGTATCAGAAGCCCAGCAGCCTTTATTCAGAGCTGAATCGAAGGCAGATGAAATATTAACAGCAGTTCTAGCAGCGCAAAATGAAATATGAGATCCTGTATCAGAAATTATTAGTAACCTGTTAAAAGAAATGCTGAAAAATGGCAGTTACCAAATTAAAACTGGGAAACAGAACCCAAATGGGAAATTTCAAAAAGTTTGGAGGAAAATAAATGACAGATTGTCCTCTTGGCTCTTATTACTATGCCATCCTAAATCCTACTTGGCAATGGATAGTGGAGGTGAAATAAGAACTGCATCACTGCCAGTGCTGGTCCTCAAATTTGTAGTCCTAAGTGTCTGTGATGGTGTCTGGGATTGATTGGAAAAGTAGCTGGAAGTTGATAGTATTTTAGCTTTATCTAAATTGAAGAGTCTAGAGACTCTTATTATGAAAGGCTTCCTCTCATTTGTGAATTGGCCCCTTTGCTCCACTTTTGGATGGCTGGCTTCCTCCATGCCGAGCTACACTGAATGTTCTACTGTGGGAAAGCTATTCTCCTTAAATGTCTTCAATTTAAAGCATCTAACTGGATGTGTTAGTGTTTGTGACTCAAAATATCTAGCACCAAAAAGAGAAAGAGAGAGGATACAAATACCAAATACTGGGTAGTAAATGAAGGAGAGATTTTTCCATCAGTAACTGAAAGCAAAGAAATTACTATAAGCAAAGTTGTTGAGCAGTTAGTGCCAGAAGAGGGGGGAAAAAAGGAAATGAGCTATAGAACCATAGAGTCTTAGTGTTGGCAGAGACTCTGGAGTTCATGCAGACCTACCCTATCATTTTTCAATGAAGAGACTGAGACATGGGGAGTTAAGGGAATTGACTTGCCCAAGACACATAGTTGTTTACTGACAGTCATGCCAAAAACATTTCCCAACTCCCAGTCCGGAACTTTGTAATTCAGCATGCTACTATCATCTTCTACTGAAAATTAACACTAACCCAGCCTGGAATGTAGAATATTTCAGTATCTGTGGCGAGCAAGAAAAAGGATAAATTTCAAGGTGGAAATCAGTCTGGGAGAAAGGAAAAGGAAACAAATGATTTTTTTACTGTGACTCATTGGTCAAGCCTTTGTAAGACGTTTTATGTCGGTTTACCCCCTTGGTTCTTCCCACAAAATAAAATAGAAGGTTTCCATTTATAAGTTCAGGTTTAATTTGCTTGGAGAATTCTCCTGCATGCAGATTATCTCCAGGTTAAGACTGGAGATAATTGGTTTGCAGATGGCATTGCTGCTGATCCTCATTATTCACTTGAGCCTGATTTTCTTTCTCTGGCAGTGAAATGTATTTCAGGCCTAGTGTAGGGAATCCTCTCCATGGACACTCCCAACTGAGATCACAAGTTTATTTAAGATGTAAAATATATCTTCTATTCACCCTTGTATTCTTTCAACCTCCTGGAAAACCGGGACCAAATATGGACATTGAATCAGGCTAATGAGTTAAGTGAGATAATTTTCTTTTTGGAGTAGTGAAGAGTAATTTAAAGTAAACAAGTAGCAAAGAAAATACAATAAAAATGTTTCAACAGGATCTCCTGTGAAATAGCAATATACAGGACTTTTAGACCAAATATTTTTTCAGAATAGAGTAACCAGAAATGGGAGGATCTGACAATATGATGAAAACTACAGATGGAATGCCTTGCATGAAAAGTGATTAAATACAAGAAAAGGCTCAGGAGTGGGTAGGAGCCGACTTGGAATGGAGGAGGGAGCTGAAAGAAGAGCAGATAATGCTTGACCAGGTCTAGTAACTATTCCCTGCCACAACCACTGTTCCATGAAGAGACTGAGCCAAGAGGCCTGAATAAACTACCCTTAAGTTCAGAGATGCCATTATTGTGGGAGGCATCAGGGAGAGCATATCCGGATTTGTGTTACACAGTAATCATTGCTGGGTGACAGCATTCATCAGCCAGATGGTCAGACCCACAATTAATCAATTAGGCTGGGATGATCAACTGGACGAAGTTTCCCCCTTTGGTAAAAACCTTCATCATGCGGTCAAGGCCAGTAGCTCTTTTATCCTGTTGCTTTTGGAGAAGCTTCTAAAACATTCCTCTCTTCTTCTTTAGGCCTCTAGTTACAGGACAGTTAGACTCTCAGCTTTGACAACATAGATACTCCAAATCAAGGTTTTCACATAATAGATTTTCTGCGTCCTCTGTGTTTCACACATAACGCTTAACATATCCAGACAGAAATAAACTTTTTAAAGCATATTTGTAAGCTGTGTTACCCAACGGATTTAATAGAGCATCTGTATTGGTTCCACTCAATCTAAAGGAAGAACAAAGGATGAAATTCTTTTACTGGGAACTTAGGAAAATTACATGATAATCAAATAATAATAGCAATTTACTGAGTGTTTGCCATGTGGCAGGTTCTGCTCTGATAGGATGGATGAGTATTGATTCAGTCCTTACAGTAACTCAATGAGCATGATAATGCTACTAGAAGTAAACTGAACTAGAAAGTTTATTTGCCCAAGGTCACACATTAAGTAAAGACATGTTCGGATGATTTTAATAGTCTCTGGGATGAAAACTAGTAAGATTTATTCTTTGTTTTATATACATATACATTTGTGTCTTTTATATAACAACTAGGAATATATGGTGGGTCTTGATTATTCCTATTCCAAGAATTTCAAAGAAATGTTTTTTTCCTCAAATCTGTTGCTCTTATTCTGATTTCTGTGGCATTCTGCTCTGTACCATCTGGCCTGAAAGTGCCTTCCTCCTTATTTCAGGACCACCACTATTATTTGCTGATAATTTGCAGTCTTCATTTCAGTATCCTTACATAGATATGGTACCTACACATCTCATTCAGATACCAAGACTTTTTTTTTGTTTTGTTTTTAAAGAATCAGTTGATGTACAGGGCAATTAACCTTCTTTCAAAAGAAATGGAAATCAGTGGTGGATTTATTACATTAAATCTGATTTAACCCTCTTTCTTTTTTTCTTAAGATTTATTTATTTATTTATTTGAAAGAGTTACGCAGAGAGAGAGAGAGAGAGAGAGAGTCTTCCATCCGCTGGTTCACTCCCCAATTGGTTGCATCAGCCGGAGCTGTGCTGATCCGAAGCCAAGAACCAGGAGCCTCTTCCAGGTCTCCCATGTGGACGCAGGTCCCAAGGACCTGGACCATTTTCTACCGCTTTCCCAGGCCATAGCAGAGAGCTGGATCGGAACTGAAGCAGCGGGTCTTGAACCGGCACTTACATGGGATGCCAGCGCTGCAGGCCAGGGCATTAAATTAACCCACTGCACCACAGCACCGGCCCCAATTTAACCCTCTTTCATTTTTACTCTCCTTTTACTATTTTACTGTCTATAGCACAGAGCAATATGTTTGAAAATCATATTGGTTAGAAACATCACTTCCTGGTGCTGGTGCCGTGGCTCACTTGGTTAATCCTCTGCCTGTGGCACCGGCATCCCATATAGGCGCTGGGTTCTAGTCCTGGTCGCTCCTCTTCCAGTCCAGCTCTCTGCTGTGGCCTGGGAAGGCAGTGGAGGATGGCCCAAGCGCTTGGGCCCCTGCACGCTCATTGGAGACCAGGAAGAAGCACCTGGCTCCTGCCTTCGGATAGGTGTAGCTCCGGCTGTTGTGGCCATTTGGGGAGTGAGCCAACGGAAGGAAGACCTTTCCTTTCTCTCTGTCTCTCTCTATCACTGTCTCTCACTGTATGTAACTGTCAAATAAATAAATAAAAATCTTTAAAAAAAAATCATTTCCTGGTGGTCTGTGCCAACACCCCGCCCCCCCATTGAGTAGAAATACAGGCACAGTGTTCTATTTCCCTGTGATTTATCCTCCAGTTTGTGGTGTCTCTCTTCTCTTGGCTCTTCTCTGCCCTCACCCAAACTCAGTTTAGGGGGTACACCTCTTTACCCGTTTCATGCAGGCTATCCACGGATACTGTTGACCCAAATGCTTGCTTTTGAAATATCAAATTCCTGCTTCCAGGTGCACTATTCGATGGAGGATGAGATTTCTTTGGCTATTTAACTGCAGTGCTTTGCATGTTCTTGGTTTTGCTACTTATCAAATTGGAAAGCAATGCCGAAATGCCAGGAGAGTATAAAAGTAGCTACCATTTTGTAGTTCAAGTTCAGTAGCACATGGAAGAAAAGGGATTCCAGAAATCTTCATGAGCATCTTTGGTCTTCCATGGCTCTCCCTGAACCCTCTTTCTGTTACTGGGGTACTACTATGTCTTGTTCTTGCTGTGTTTAGTAGGCAGCTCTGTTTTCCTTGCTGTCTCTCTTGCTGCAGTGCCTCAGTGTTCACCCCAGAGCTGCTGAGGTACTTTCCTTTCGACCTGCCATGTCCTCGCATATTGCAGAGCTGAGCCTTGCCATCTACACTGCTTTTCTGCTTCGTTTTGCTCCTGACCTAAACCCCCCTGCTATTCCAGGCCTGGCCTCTCATGACCAGAGACTGCTGACTCATCCTGGCCTGTGCCAAGCTGTGCAGTCGCTTAGTGATGTGGACAGGAGTCGAAGGACTAGAATGAGATCACTGAACTCATTTCACTTGTTGCTTACGGTACAGTCCAGCATGAGCTGGAAATGTAGGAACCTCAGCCTCCCGAGCAGAAAGAGTAAGTAGATTAAACACACCGCATCACCAAGTCCTCAACAAGCAGCAGTCGGGTGGCGGGTGGGGGCTTGCTTTATCATGGCCGTGGCCAGAGCATTCGGGTTCATCAGGAGTTTTCCTTTGTCCTCTCTTCTTCCTCTCCTCCACAGTTGCACCCTCCCCCCCTTCCCTGAACTTCCCTTCTGAAAAGGTCCGGATGGTACTGCAGTGATCTGGGCAGAAATGAAATTTTGCTAATAAGCAGCCTCCGCACGAAATCCTGGAACAGTGACACTGTTGAAACTGTTCAGTTTGTCTACTGGGAACTCACATGAACTTCCCAACAGAATTCAAGGGGATGAAAAAAATCTTTTTTTTTTCTCTGTTGTTCTCCTTTTCTTCTTGATTCTCTTTTTCTTTCTGTTTTGAGGGAGGTAGTTCCAGGAGCCATGGCTACATTCTGGGGTGGTGTCAAGTTTTCCGTAGGGAGACAATAATGTACATTCCTCTGGCAGGACGGGATGGTTTTTTTTTTTTTTTTTTGTTTCTCTTGCTGTTGTTTATTTATAAGACATTTCCTCTCAGTTAGTGGAAGTAAGATCGTAAGAGGCTCCAGTGATTTTCCTTCCACCTCCCCTCCCTAATTTCTGTGCTTCGGCACTCTGGAACACTGTGAACTCCACAAACCGATCAGAGCAGGGAGCTTAGCAGCCAGGCCTGGACACACTCAAGAGACTGTGTGCTGATTCTCAGTCGTCACTCCTTGGATCAGGAACCACAGTCCTGGTGAGTGGGGAGGTTCCAGAATTTGATGTGTCAAGGATTCTATTCTTGGTATCTCTGAGGCAGGCAGGAAATAAAGGGTGTTTTTTTTAATACAAGTTATTTTTTAAAGCGCTCCAAAATAATCAAAGAGAATGCTGAAGATTTTTAGTGTGCACAGCTGAGAGCCCTCCATGGACAATGGCAGAGCCTTGAGTGTATGCTCAGGAGGAGCCTGCAGTCATAGGTTTCATTCTGCTACGGACAGATGTCAGCCTTGACATGCCTCGAAACCATGCTGGTGGGAAGAGGAAGACAGGTGAGTGAGAAGGGCAGGGAGGTAGCATTCAGCATGGTCCTAGGGGGAAGTGGATGTGGAATTACCGTTCCTTTGGCGTTTCTTTCTACCAACTTTTCATGCACCTCTGCTCTCAGTTTTTATGTTATGCTCCCAGTACTTATACACCCGGCCAAGCAGGAAAAAGAATCTATTGTGAATGTTAGAGCAAATGAATATTGCTAGTGGTGGTGTTCTAAAGATCACTTCGCTAAGAACTGGTTGCTGTGAACATAAGAGACCTCCCCAACCCGACCTTTGGAAAGTATTATTTGTCACACTCTTTGCCTTAGTCTTCTGCATTCATGGTATTGAACAGAAGAATGCATTGAGAATCCTTATTTGGTTCCAGGGAAATTCATCATCTTGACATAGGAAAACTAGATGACTGTCCCCACAATATTAAACCCAAACATAGAATTGTTCTCAATATAGGAGACTCTGTTTGAATGTGCTCTGGGAAGTTGTCAAAGGAATGGAATGAGGGTGGTTTGCATCTTGTCCAATTTGAGACCAACAGAGGCATCAACAGACCAACCTTCACAGCCATTATGTGCCTTTATTGTTCTTCTTGATCACTCATACTCTCCCTAGAAGTGGAACTTCAGGTGGAATCTATTTTTGTCTTTTAACATCAAGTCCCTACTTAGTCGCTTTTCTAGAGGTATTTGTTCTTACTGCGCTTTGTTGTCATCGTTCTAATTTCAAGAATCTGGCTTGTTCCAAAATATTGAGTGGAAAAAACAAAAACCAAAAAAACATGGTGGCCATAAAATCATTTGACTGTGTGGCAGCATCTGAAGGGAATTGCTCTTTGGAGAGAGGAAAGAGTCTTTGATGTCCCCAATATGGTTCTCATAGGCTAAAACTTCCAAGAACCACAACCCAGCCCAAGGGGCACTTACTCGACGTTCTTAAATATTTGGAAAGAGATGCTATTTTATTGTTTTAGTTGTCTTTGCTATTAACACATTGCCAGTAGATTCCTCCTAAAGTTGGTTTAGCAACAGTTGATTTTACATTTAAACAGATGTGTATTGTATGTGCCTTTTGTGTATACTCTTGTCCAAGCTGGTACAGTGACCCAACTTACTACATTGGTACTTAGCTCTGGAATTTTGTTTGCTACCCTGGGTGATTCAGATTCTTAAACATAGAACTTATATCCCATGTTCCCCACAGAGAGTGACCTCTACTACAGCCTCAATGGGGTTTGTTAATGACTTTTAAGACAAAAAGTCACCTTCCTATCACAATTCCTATAGTCTATTGGGCACAACACATCTCTCTGAAGTCTCAGGCTGTCATAAGTGCCAGTGTGCTAAAATCTTAAGAATATATAATCCTACAGTTTGTCATTTCAGTAAGTCCACATTAGTTATGACAGTACTGTGTGTGAATAATGTTTCTTGGGTATTTTCCATTAGTTCTCTTCTAAAGAAGTTAAGTGACAAAACAATGTTAACTTTAAAAATAATTTTTTTAAAGTATCACTTAGGCCATTACCGCCAAGAGCTACATGAGAAGCTGTACCTCCCTTAGTTAACACTCAACTACACTGATTCCCTGATGAACTGTCTAAGTCTCTGGGAGGAAATCATAGGAATATGTTGCAGGCAAAGCTGAAAACATTGTATTACTTAAATTATGACTGTATGTAAAATTTTATAAGCAACTTTAAGCTTTATTAGGTGAACACAAATACCTAAGAGTATGCCTCAAGAGATTACATTTTTGAAGTATAATCCACTAAAGAGGTTTTCCTTATGGTCACTAAGATCTGGAATTCCACGTGGCTCTGGAAGAATTCCATGGATAAGTTGAAGTATATAAGTCAGAATTTGATTAGTATATTTCTGATAGAAAGACAAAGCAGTCATGTATTTCTCTGTCCTATTACTTGGTGTTTTTCAATATCTGTATTACCAATAATTCAGTTTTCCAATGCATACCTAGAAATTTTAATTTCATTCAATTAATTAGGATGAATGTTGTAAAAATGTATATTTTCTTGCATGTACATTTAAGATAAAACACTTCCTAAATGTTATATTCATTTAATTAGGCAGTTTCAATCTATACACAAATTAAACTGCTAAATAGCAGAATTATGATTGCTCAAATAAGAAATGTTTCTTTCTTATTTGTTCAGAAATGCTTTTTTTGCTATTTGTATGATTCCATAAGCAAGATACATATTTTAAAAATTTAAAAAGAGGAATTGATTCCTGTATCTTATGATTGAGTATATATGTGTGCTTGTAAATGCACACATATTCATACAACCAGATACCTATATTGAACCCTTAAAAATATGACCAAATTCTAGCCAGGCTAACATTCAGTCAAATGCTTTGTGAACATAAATGACATATAGCTGATACTTTATCACACTGATAATACAGAAAGTTTACATAAATATTTTTGAACAATTTCTGTGAACAGAAAGATTTGGTTAGCTAAGTTTGGTAATTATTCTTCATCAGATATACCTGTTAAGTTATAAACCTAAATTCTATAATGTACAACTACAAAATATGAATTGCTATTTGTATAAATCACTTCAAGATTTAGTGGAAAGGAATTAAACTGCTATTAATTCTCTAAAAATTGAGAATATATTTAATGCATTCACTATTTTGGAAGAATAAATACATATGCAAATAATCCAGTTTATTCTTGTTTTTCATCTATTTAGTTGTGTGTTAAACACTTTGATGCTGTATTTACTTATCAGCATCACAACTATAATTTTCCAGATACCTTTTCAAAGTACATAACCAAGTCATATCCTTGTCAAGTCATACTGCTTCTCTGAAGCTTTCAGTATATTGTAAACTAAAAGTGATCTGACATTGATAGCATTTTTAAAATTGACATCTATCACTTATCATATGTTACTTTGAATTGAAGTCTTTGTGTATATGAAGCTTCTAGTGCTTAGAAGGTAGGTGTGGTGTTTTCTACCTATTTATCTCTCTCCCAACTCATGTCAAATTGCCTTAGTCTGAATGAAGGATCATTGAGTAGATGATTAATGAATAAATGAATGAATGAATGATATCTAGGTGTCAATGCATTGACAGTGAATACATCTTGCTTATCATAATAGAAGAAACATCCAGAAAACAATTCAATCGATTCTTCTGTATCTGAGCCTTTTAAATCTCTGCATTAGATCTTCCAACTAGCTGACAGCATGTTTGACCTGTTACTGAGGTAGCTTCTCTAATTCCCATGATGCATGAGTAATTTCCGAGGGATCATGAGAGTCCTGAAATTGCAATAGTTCCATTAATTTTCTAGGCCTTGTGAGGATGATCAAATGTCCTGCTTGGAAAGCTTGGTCTAAAAGTGCCAATCTTACCTTAATGTATCACATGAACCACAGGCCTTTCCCATTGATGAATATTTGCTTACAGTCAGTCCTTGTTTCTTCCTTTCCTCCAAGTCACATCCGAGGAGCTCAAACTGAAGTCGGATGCAGAAAGGCATGAAGGCTGACTCTGAGTGCCCTACAAGCTAGACAGAGGAGGAATGGGGCAGATAGCACAGTAAAGAGCAGGGGCAAGAGGAGAGGCAGCCCAATCATGTACACAAGCACTAATTAAATGTCCTATTTTAGGTAAATAATAGTTGAAAATCAGTTGTTTCCATTGGTGAGTAGAGAACTTGGTGGAAATGCTTAGTGTTGCTTCTGTCATTAGCCTGCAACACACTAACACTTCTTCAGAGGAGAGAGGCATCAAATTGAGCCAGCCTCTAAAGTGCCATTTGCTGAGTCTCCATTCCAGCACCCTAAAGGGTACCCTGATGATATGAATCACACTTAGAGAATAACCATTTAGACAACAAACCAACCCTAAAAAACAGTCATTATAAGAAACCAAAATATTGTGTAAACTGGGCTTTAATCTCATTTA